TAAGTAATTCAGAGTAATTTTTGGTGAGTCCAGATTATTAACCAGTTTTTCATTGGATTAGGGGGGTCTGTCTCCGAGGGTTAGGGCTTAACGTGCTCACGCCCGTACGGTTCCTCCATCGAACCTCGGAGAGCTCGATCCTTCTCGCCGACTCTCTTTGTGATGAATGACAAAGCTGTCTTTTCAACTCGAGCTGGATGAGCAACACGTGCCACAATTAATTTTCCTTGCCGCTCTCAAAGTGCTGACGGCGGCAGGCAGAAATGAAATGTGCCATCAAAGCTAACCTCAGCTTTATTCCTGCCTGAACCCGGCTGTGTTTAACACGCCGAGGTCCCGCAGGGCTCCCGCTGGAGAGACGAATCAAGAGAGGCTTCGCAGAACCGAGGTCTGGAAGTTAATTTGATATGAAAATCCAAACGCCGAGGCCATCATGGCCTGCTGTGACACTTGAAAGTCTGAAATCACCGTGAATTCCTGCTTCAGTCATGTCAGGGAAGGAGACGAGCTGTATGCAGGAGTAACGGGAATTCTGTCATCGATCTTCTTGTTTTCTCTTTTATAAAGAAAGATAAATCCACCTGAACCAGATTTACAAAAACCTTTATGTTTGTTATACATGCTTAATTTTTCCCACCCAAAATCCTCCTTTTTCTGATGATTTTGCTTCATTTGAACGTGTCTCACAGTAAATCATCGCTGCTCTGAGCCGCAGCAACAAGGAGGAAAGACGTTCCATCAAGTTAATCACCTGGAGTCACTCTTCATCTCCTCCTTCACCCACACCTCTTGTTAGGTCTGACATTAGCCTTGTGTTTCCCTCTCCCGACACGTCTTCATGTCAAATGAGGAAACTTACGAAACACGACAGGAACCCGATTAAAAATCCTCCCCGACAGCATCTCTGTAGTCCCAAACTATGTGGTCAGATTATGGGATGCTTTAAACATTAATAAAAAAAATCTGTGAATAAATGACTCTCCGCACTTAATGAAATTCTCATTATTGTGAAGTCGATTATGTAAACAGAATAGCAGAACACACACACACACACACACACACACACACACACACACACACACACACACACACACACACACACACTCAGCAGACTTCACAATGACGTTCTCTCCTCAACATTGAGACGAGATATGGCAGCTGGATGAAACCTGCTGTTGAATCTGTTTGTCCTCGCTCCGATCGCCCCATATCGTCTTCCTGAGGACAGCAGCCCAAAAACAGAATAGCCAGGTGGGATGGGGTGTGTCCACGGCAGTATTGGTGGCTTTCCTGAGACCGCTGGAGCTGTGGAGGTCTTCAGTAATGGGAGGTGGGAATGAACTCCTGGAGTGCTTTCCCCTGGGCTACAGCTGCTTTACCCCATACATACAATATATAAGGATGCTTTTATGGCTGCTCTGTAGGATGCCAGCAGCCTCTGATGGATCTGAGGACGTTCACCTGCTGCTGGGCCTTTTCCAGCAGCTCCGAGGTATTCATCTTCCATAGATGCTCTTCTATGCTCAATCCCAGGAAGCTGTAGACTGCCATCCTCTCTCCACGCAGTCTCCCCTGATGATTTAGGGTTGGATCTCAGTCTTTTCCCTCCTGTAGTCTATTACCAGCTCTTTGGTCTTTGAAGTGTTGAGCAGAAGGCTATTAGCCAATCGCCATGAAGACAGCTGCTCCTCGTCACCCTTAGTAATGAGCCCCAACACGGTGGCGTCATCTGCAAACTTCACAACGTTTGTTTATGAGCTGTGGCCATATGTGTAGAGAGAGAGACTATAAAAAGCCACGCCCACTCCCCTTGGTGAAAGCCCCGCCCACTCACCTGGATGAAAGCCTCCAGTAAAATCATTGTTTACTCAGCATATTTTACAGCTTTTTACAGACATCCAAGAAGCTGAATCCTTCATGTAATTTCATCTTTAACAGGAACTGAGTTAAATCTGAAGCTGTTTGCACAAAAACAACACACACACACACACACACACACACACACACACACACACACACACACACACACACACACACACACACACACACACACACACACACACACACACACACACACACACAGGCCTCTGTAGCTCACGTATTATCATCAAACACTCGCTCTAGTGTTTAGGAGAGACGACAGAACGTCTGTTGTCTAAGAATTATGGAATCTGAAATATTCCAAACACATTTCATGTATCAGGATATAAAACAGCATTAAGCTGGTAGTTTTCATTAACTACCCCCAAAGAAAATGTAATAATTAAAATTTCTTCCCATTAATTCCCATCCTTTTCCCATTTTTGTGCCGAGAGATAAGTCTGGAGGCCCGTGCAGAATTTTAAACGCTATAATTAAAGTGCTTAATTGATTCATGCAGAAAAAACCAGCATGTCTGACTGGTTTGTTCTGTTGGACGTGAAGTGATGTGAGCTGTGACTCAGAGCTGAAGTATAAAATATACATCCTCTATAAATAGGACATCTGCCCTCTGTGAAGCTCCGGCTGCCTGGAAACAAACAGGAATACTTTTTATGTGGTCAAGCTGCATGTGTGGCGGCTGCTGTCCCGATTTAGGAGCAAACACCTTCCTGATCCCGGCACCGAGGCAGAGAGGGAGATCATTTAAAGTCTCTGAAAGAACAAATGGTGCTCCGAGGTCTTAATGCTATAGAAAACAAACTAATTGCACTCCTCTGTAGTTTATAAAGAGAGAGACATAAAATTGTTGCAGCAGGACAGGAAGTCGTGTTCTTAAAGCGACTGGCAGCTAACACGCTGGAGGTCAGCAGCTGCAAACGCTGCATATGAAATCAGCTCTGGGACTGTAACTGTGTGTGTGTGTGTGTGTGTGTGTGTGTGTGTGTGTGTGTGTGTGTGTGTGTGTGTGTGTGTGTGTGTGTGTGTGTGTGTGTGTGTGTGTGTGTGTGTGTGTGTGTGTGTGTGTGTGTGTGTGTGTGTGTGTGTGTAGGGCATGCATGAGTCCCGCACCGGCCATGTGTGATGAATGGGGTTTACCAGAGCAGCAGACAGGGGCTGCAGCCAGTGACACGAGATGAGGAGCATTTATTTGTTTACAGTGACAGAAAAATCAATTAGCCCTCACTTGTTGTGTGTCTCTGTTTGTTGCTGCAGACGGAGCTCTAATCCGTCAGAAAACTTTTGCTCCACAACCAACCTGCAGGAGTCGGCCGTGCGTCAGCATACCAGCCTGTTCTGACCTACTTTAAGCTGCGGATGGATGTGATGCACGGACTGAAAGACACAAACTCCAGAAACGGTTAGCAGAAGCTAAGCTGCTTTCAGTCGAGCCGACATTGTGAAAGTGATGATCTCCTTTATGACTCAAGGCTGCGAGGTGAGAGTGATCCTGAGTCATGATGCTGCGGTTCATCAGGATCCGGTGGGGAAGACTTTGTTTAACGGCGTCATTTCACCTCACAAGCGACGCAGACGCAAATTGGTTTGTCTGCCAGGCTGCAGCATCTTCTGTACACAGCTGAAGTCTCTAAGCCTCCAGAAACATTTCAAACTGACTCATTTTTCACAGAAAAAAATGTTTTTTTTCCTAATTCGTCTCTTTATTCAGAGTCCTACAACAAGAAACTAGAATATCACACGGGCGCGGCGCTGTCAGACACACAGACACATTTACGGTCACCATAGCAACCCGGACTCAGCTGATGGACGTTTTCTGATCAGCATCATCTCTCGTCTTTGTTCAGCCATCATCTCTAAGTGTGGAGGATGTTCACTCAAAGGTTTCCAGAATGTCTCGAAATGTTTTCAGCGGTCCTCATCTTCCTCGTGTGAGCTGCGAAGCATCGTGTTGACCATGTTTGAAACCTTAACAAGACACGTTTTCTTTGTGACTAGCCCCGTAAGAGCTGGGACAGACATTTGGAACCATCCTCAGTCGAGCTCCTGAGTAGGACTGGAAGGGTAAAATAATAGGAGACAACTTTGGGAGGGACTGGAGACAAAACAGGGGGTCTGACTTTCCAAGCAGGCAGAATTGTGACAAAAGTAAATCGGGAAACTTTTGTGATTAAATTGCAAAAAGAAAACAAGCATTGATTTGTTTACAGTTGTGACTTTTGAAAGTGTATTTCGTACCAAATCAGTGTGATTTTATACATTTCTGACCAGGCCGCAGACTCGGGCACAAAAAGTGGTTTAAAAATCCTGAGATCATTAATCCTGCTGGAGTTTTGTGACTGTCTCGTTTATTTTTTCTGCATCAAAATGAAATATTGATGGAAGTCTGTTCTTCGTCTTCAGGATTGTTTTAGACAGGGTTCAAATTATGGGGGAGCTGAGGGGAGCTCGGCTCCCCCGAAAGGCCAATGAGCTCCCCCAGGAGTCATCAACTGACACACCCAGGAGGAGCCCCCCACCCCCACTCTCACAAAGTCTTAAGCCGGGCGTACACTGTGCGAATTTTTCACTTTTTTGAGCCGATTTTCCACTCGTGCAAGAATCCACGAGATCGGGGCGAGTTTTGCGCCGAGCGTCGTGTAGTGTACAGGGGTTACAAGAGGTGATTAACACCACGTGACCAGCTACCGATCAGCAATCGTGAGCTCGCACAGACTTCTGGCATGTTTGAAATTTTGCTCGTCTCTCGTGAGGGTATCGCACTGTTGAAGCGGCGCTGCGAGCAGCTGCGACCCAAAAAGTACCAGAACCGCTCACGGCGCATGCGCAATCCTGCATCAACACCGCTCGCCCGCTATTTCCCTAAAAACACACGTTGTTCATTTTTGTTTCTACACGTTTTTTTACTCACAAAGATTGTCATGAAAGCGTGTTTGTCGTGTTCATGTCAAATTAAACTGATCACAAAACACAGATTTACTTTCTTTATTTCGTTTTCCTCATCCAACCCCCATAAATCCCTGTGTGTCCTCCTGCAGCACTCCCGAAGGACAACAGGCAAAAGTCTGACGTGTTGAGTAAAAACTGCTATTTTTAGCATATTTTAGGTCTGACGTGTTGATACCAGACGTACAGTGTGAGCAGGTTGCATGCGAGAACTGGGTCGTACAGTGTGAGCACATGACTCGTGAGATCTGCCCTGCGAGGAAGTCGTTCAGTTTGAGCTGAAGCGGAGTGCTACGAGTGAAAAAGTCACACAGTGTCCGCCCGGCTTTAATGGAGCCAAATGGACGGATGCCTCCACCACCATTCCGTGCTTCTTTCGTTCTTAGAGCATTCAGGGATGGTGCTCCCCCAGAGGTCTGCCCGGGTTTTACACCTAAGAGTAAAGAAGTTTGCACTAAAAGATGCTGATTGAACTTTTCATTTGTTTTTTGGAAGAGAGCCTGTCACGAGCGTGCCGGTGAGCGAAGCGGTGATCAGATGAGGATCCAAGCGCTGGACAGGAAGACAGGCAGACAGGTAAGACGTTTAAAGGTTTTAATGATTAACACGCTGGACATGGGAACATTGAGGCAACAAACTACAGAGAACTGAAGGGGGTTTAAATACAGGAGGGCCGGGAGCTTGGGTGATTGAGAAACAAGAGGCAGGTGGGAGCAATTAATGAAGACACAGGGCTGAACCAAACGGGGAGACAGGACAGGGTGTGACAGTACCAGCTCTAAATGAGCAGCAGGGCAGTAGAATAGCTGATCCACTGGTCGCCATCATCACCAGTAACCATCTGGATCCTGCACCTCTGCTTTAACAACACCTGAAGTGGAAACAGCAAACATCCAGGAAGTGGCTGAGCACAAACGGCCCGGTAAAACCTCCCGTGACTCTGTTACTGCAACGGTTTCATGTACTGCTGAGGAGGTCATTTTGACTGTGTCTTCTTAGGACGCTGGTCATGTGTTCTTCTGAGCAATTATGTAGTAGTAATTTGGTCAGGAGGAGGCACACTCAGAGGGAATTACAGCCTTCTGAAATCCTTCTGGAAGGAAACTTATGCAGCACTGGTGAAAAATGCCAAAGAGACATATCTCAGCTCTTCCTGTGTCAGATTCTGATTTATAAACATGATAGAAACCAAATGAAAGAGCTCCAGTGGCTAAATCTGTAAATCCAATTCATCAGGTATCAGCTAATTTATAATTAAACATGGCTTCTTTGTGTCCAACAAAAATCCAATATTTAATTAGAAATGTTTATGTTCTACATGATTATTGTTCATGAAGGAAACTTTGAAAAGTCCAAATTGGTGAAGGAAAAATAAAAATCCAGCCTCCGTCAGCTAAAGCTAACAAGCTAAAAGCCACAGTTTGACTAAAAAGTGGTTTTTGCTTTCATGACATGGCATTAAAGAGGACATTCACGCGTTACGTCAACACATCTGCTCTGCTCTGTATACATGCATGCCTTGTGAGTTGATCGCTGTGGGGGAAAAGCTCTGGCGCTCCAGTTTCAGGTAGCAGTTCATCTGACCGGGGGGTTTCAGCAGGATTTAAAGTCTTACTCATTAATGCTGTGAGGTTTGGACGTGAGACACGTGGGTGATCAGCGGGTTCAGATGTAGCATTTTCATGGTGATTTTTTCCATCAGCAGAAATAAACTAACGTGTTTATTCTAAATGATAGAATAAAACTTTGATCCTCTGACAGACTTTCCACTGAGCAGCAGATTTAAACATATAATTTAGCATAAAAAGGGTGACTATTTATTCATATTTCCTAGGGGGAAAAAACACTTAGGCCTTGGAGTGTGCACAAGAGCATCAGGGTCAAAACTTTACCTTTCAAAGTGTTTGCACTCTTCCACAAAGCTCAAAAAATCAATGTTTAACTGCAGGAACTCACCCACACTGCAGGTAGGAGGAATGTCATCTTAGCAAGGTAAACAGCGTGCTGAATATAAAGCTTTCATGCAGAAAAAAACAAAGAGGACCATCTGGAGGTGAGAGATCAGGATACTTTTTAAATTTATCTCCTCTGGCGCCTGGAGACAGGAAGTCGTGCAGCACTGAGGTCTGAGTCCACAAAAACCAGCAAAAAGGTTAAATAACCACAAGATAGAAGAACAAAAATTCATAGTTACGTTTTTAAATGTAAGTGTTCTTCTAATTTTCACTAATATCCATCAGAGAAAACGTCATAAATGCATTTATCCATGAACACGATTTGCGCCAAGTTGGGGGGAGATGAAATAAGTAACCTCAGCTACCACAACATTTAGCTCTTTGATAGCATTAGCATAATTTTTGCATAATTGAAGAGCTTTGAGAAGCATCCCCCCCCCCCCCCCCCCCCTCACCTCCATCACCCAGGTGTCCCCTCCTGAAATCCTTTCATCCACCTTTGGTTTTCCCGGTGATGCAGACAGCGAGATGGCTGCAGGGCGTCGGGCAGCTTAATAATTCATGGCTCATCTATATGAATCATGGCCGACTCCCCCTGCTGCCATCACTGGGATCATTTGCTCACCAAAGCCCACTTAATGCCCCCACCATTTGTCACAACAGTAATTAAACGCTTCCTTCGTCTTGCGGATGGAACAGCTGTCAGATAGAGGCAGTCAGATTAAAGGAGTGGTGATCCGGCCACATGTGGCTGATCCATCTGACCCGAAAGCGCCTCACAGGTGGCGCGCCCTAGAGGCGAGCATGTCGTCGTGGAAACAGACGGCTGCGTTCAGGGGAGATTATTGAGATGAGTGTTGTAGAGCAGCGTGAAAATCCTCCCTGGATATTATTCATCAGATAACTGCTCTATTATTCATCAAGTCCCAGCTCAGATGTTTATGGGGAACTTCCCAACACACGGACATGTTGTTGTTTAAACTGTGCCGCTTGGACACATTTGTAAACAATGTGAGGACACGATGACTGTTGACAGAGGAATGCTGTGATGGGCGGAGAAACATCAGGAAACAAACACAGCTGGTTTGAAAGTGGAGGAGGTCACTCGTTCTTATGGCGAGATGGAGGAGAGATGGTCTGGATCCAGGTTTGATCTGTTCATTTAGAGTCCTAGAACCCCCCAAGGTGCTTTACACGTCATTCATCCGTTCATATACTGATGGTGATGAGCTACACTGTAGCCACAGCTGCCCTGGGACTCACTGACAGGCCACCACCTTCGACCAACAGCAGTCAAGGAGAGTGACGTGCCTTGCCCAAGGACATGACAACAGAGTGGGGTGCAAACCTGCAACCCTCTGGTTACAGTGTGGGTACTTAACTCCTCTGCCACCGTTGTCCGGGTAACGAGTGTGATTTCCGACACAGACCGCTCACATCAGAACCGGTCTGATGCGTCAGAACCTCAGAACGAGGATTCTCCTCCTGTCAGCCTCAGAACACCTGCTTTAATGTTCCTGAGGGAGACTGCACCCCTCCGTCCGCCTGGTCCGAGTCCTCCTGGGACGTTTCTGCTGTCGTTATAGAAGTTAAGGTGTCGTGTCAAGTGTTGCGCTTGGACACGTGTTTCTAGTGCTGTCCGCTGATCCGGCACTAGTGATGCTGAAGAGGCCATCGGAGCCAGGAGCTGGACTTGTGTAAAACACCGCACCCTCATCTCCTCTTAGGGACCGCAGCAGCTCAGGAGGTAGAGCGGATTGTCCAGTAATCAGAAGGTTGCAGGTTTGATCCCGGCTCCTACCAGAGAATGCTGCTGTTGTGTCCATGGGCAAGACACTTAACCCGCCTTGCCTGCTGGTGGTGGTTGGAGGGACCGGTGGCGCCGGTGCTCGGCAGCCTCGCCTCTGTCAGTGCGCCCCAGGGCAGCTGTGGCTACATCGTAGCTCATCCCCACCAGCGTGTGAATGTTTGTGTGAATGGGTGAATGACTGATTGTGTTGTAAAGCGCCTTGGGGGGTCGTAGAACCCTAAGAAGGTGCCATACAAATACAGGCCATTTACCATTCTTATAAAGGCAACAGTCCAGCAGGAACTCGACGGGCCGACTCGTAACGGGGACAGGGCGGTGCCCCTGCTTATGGATCCGACCTGCTGCACGGGCACGCTCCTGCTGACGGTCCCACCATGGATGAAAGTCCAGAGTGGATCCAGCGTGTGCCGCTTTAGCTAAATCCACAGATCTCCACGAGTCCATCGCACCTGAATTCCCACTTTACTGTTCTGTGTCTCCATAAGATGTTTATCCTGCTGGCACAGTTTTATTCTGCTGTGATTTTAATTACATTTTATCTTTTTAACTTCGTTATTGACTTTCTCCTTTATTTACAGCGACAGGTTCTGCGTGATTCCTAAGCTACTGATGCTGTGTTCATCAGTGACAGCTGTGGTAGAGCTCTGTAGACAACGATGATGGTTTATGTTTGTTTCTAACTCTACGTATACCTGGGGAGAACATGCTAACCCCACAGAAAAGCTGGAGCCAGGATTTGAACCTGCAACCTTCCTGCAGCGAGGCCACCATGCAGCTTGTCTTCGTTCATTACCGTAACAGATTTTTACCTCATGAGCACCTGGTGGGTGTGGGTTAGTTTACTGTAGTAAGTCTGGGGTTTATTGTGGGAATAATCCAGTAATTAAAAAAAAAACAGTTGTGTTTCTGACAGCATCTTCACAGAGACTCATCAGGTCAAAAGCATCTGTGCTGCCCAGAGTCACAGTGATGTCTCGGCAGGATTTACTCACAGAAGCAGAAACGGCCAGCGAACATCCCTGAAAACCAGTCGCTCCTCTGACAACTGAACTCTTTGAGGTTTGTTAGGACTCGGGGTCTAATGAGGAATCGTTGCCAAAACACAGGGATTTATTGCTAAAAGCAGACGGATGCTGACATCTGATTGCCAACTGTTCCTAATAACAGGAGACGGGCCAGACGGATGCACAGATCCAGGAAATTCTTCATGTTTTTCCCAACTAATGCAGACATGAGACAGAGGGCAATTACAGCAAGGGCACGACAATAAAAGAGTAGTCTGGCATCCAACAGCTTGCTAGCACTGTGACATCTGCCACTCGGCACTTTCACTTCGCCTGTCTGAAAAGTCGATGTCAAAGTCGTCGTGCTTTCAAGAATTAACAACCCATCGTTACCGTCGGGAATGGGACCCCCAACCTCGGGGAACAGATTCTGATACCAGAGCTCCGGATCTCAGAATGGAAACGTGTCGGTAATCGTTTTTATTTAACTTTTAATGGTAACTTTATTTAACTGGATCCTTCTCTCTGTTTTAACTGAGATTTCTCTTTAGTGATGCAGAAACACGAGTCTGTCACCTCTAAAGGTTCTCGCGGAGGCTCCAGCTGATGCAGCGTCCTGGTGAGAGGGGAGATCAGCTCGTCCCACTTCACCATCACTTCACTGGTCCGTACTTAATCTGAAGACATTCCCATCAGCAAGAGCCAAAGAGCTAAACCTCTATGTTCCCAACCCTGGCTCTCAGACTGAAGGCTTGGTTCCCAGGAGGATGTGTCTATAGCAGCAAAACTAAAGGGATGAGCCAGTACAACCCTCACAAAGAGATTCATGGAACAGGAACATCTGGAGCTGGGTCTTTTGAGAGTTTGTCTCATGAATGGATGAATGACAGTTTGTCTCATCTAACAACTAGCATCTCAAATTCTGCTCAGATTGTTTAAAATAGAGTTTGAGCTGTTTTGCTCTTGCTGATGTTGATTATCTGTGGTGACCATCTTGACTTGGGCTTGCACCAACGTTGAAGTCAGAGCTCCACTGTAGTCATCTCTGAAAACCCACTTGAACATTCCCAGTTTGTTTTCTATATTTATGATGGTTCTTGTGGTTCTCCGTTTGCATTTTAAACAACGATGCAACAAATATTTGACCGGTGACTTCCAGATCCCGTTAATCCAGTCCATTGCTGTTTTCAGTCCTAATTCCACCTCGTGTTGCAAATCATGTTTTAGAATGTGTCGCAGTTGTTGGCCTTTATTTAGTGTTGCATGAATAAAAATGGCAGCTGAGCGTGAAATTTTTACATAAAAAGGAGGAGGAAGGAAGGGCCGCAGCATTAATGCTGCTGATGAAATCTGGGAAGCAAACGTCTCAAACAGGTAGAAAACACGCAGCTACAGTGGAACGGCGGTGCGATTACACCACAGGCATCGGATGTGTTCGGTGTAATCAGGCTAAGGCAGCGTGCTGCTGGTAGGAACAGATCTGTGCCATGGAGCTGATCTGTAATCAGGTCCTGCAGGTTTATGAACATGGTTGTCCCGCCGCCGTTCCCGGCTCCGGGATTACAAATGGAGCTCAGTCAGCAGCCCAGGGCCCCGCCCCCAACCCCTCAGATGGCTTCCGTCTACAATCTAACTCAAGTTCATAAACCTGATCTATTATTTTGTATCTCAGCACGCAACTGATGCACAGCTGAGAAACCACCAACTAATCAACCTTTAAACCCTCACCTGTGCTGCAGAGCGGTGGGTTGGAGATCATAAATACAAGCAACTCTCCTGGGATTAGTGTTGGTGCACTTTGGCACCAACAGGAGTCATGTCAACAACACGACCTTACGAGTGCAGCGCCACACGGACGCCAAGGCTGCACCATTACAAATCTATGTTTATAGGCTGGTGTTGGGGGTTGTGTTAATGCCGTCCATTATGGAACAACCCAGAGACATGGTGACCCTCTGACCTTTGCCTGTTGATCAGGACAGCAAAGGTAAAACATTAACAGAAGGATATTAATGCAAGGGTTACATTTTACAAAAATATTTAGAGATAAAGTCCAAGTTCAACACATCTGCTGTGGTCTCCAGTGGGAATGAAAACAAATGAGCTTAAAACTTTGTTCATGCCTTTTAACAACATTCTGACATTATCTAGCTATAAATAAAGTATCCATCCATTTTCATCCGCTTATCTGGAGTCGGCTCGTAGGGGCAGCAGCCTAAGTCGAGATGCCCAGACTTCCCTCTCTCCAGCCACTTGGGCCAGCTCCTCCAGGGGAATCTCAAGGCGTTCCCTGGCCAGGCAAAAGACGTAGTCCCTCCACCGTGTCCTGGGTCTTCCTTTAGGCCTCCTCCCGGTTGAACGTTCCCAGAAAACCTCACCAGGAAGGCGTCCAGGAGACATCCTGACCAGATGCCCGAGCCACCTCAACTGGCTCCTCTTGATGAATAAATAAATTATGGAGATTAAAAAAAGAAAGAAAAAAAAAATGTTACAAAGTGGTTCTGTTGCATGTGTCTAAAAACCTCCACTACCTACATGTTTGTGACACGTGAAGGCAACTATTGGATGGTTGTTGGACTCACCGAAGCGCCGCACTTCCTGGGTCCTCCACTCAGTCCTTTGCAACGTTGATGTTTTATTTATGGCCAAACTCCCACTTAATTTAGGAGTTCTGCTGTGTGGCAGAGTTGCTAATGCTAACAGTTAGCTTCTACTAGCCGAAACGTTCTCTGCTGTTTCCTGGAAGCTAAACCAACAACAGCCTTCCCCATCGTGAGTCCAGATGGGTGAGTCCATGAATGTTAGTGACAGTGTGACATAGATCTGTCAGGATTTTCTAATCCCAGAGTTTCACCGTCTGTTTTTTATCAGAAGCTACTGCAGGAGATAGGTGTAGGAGACTATTTTCATGTTCAGCCTGCAGGAAACCCTCAGAGTTGAGCATAGTTAAAAAAACAACAAGTGAAAAATGGTTTATGAGTGAACTTACAAGACTGGCCTTTGGAAAAAAGACAGAACTGGGAATATTGTTTTTAGACGGACGGACGGATGGAAAGAAGGAAGGATTAATTTTTACTGCGAACATTAATTTTACACATTAAAATCAGTTAAATAAATGAATAACAAAAGAGAATAATACACAAAACTGTTGTGTTGGTTGAGTAGATTCATCTGCTGGATGTGATCTGGGTGTAAATGTTTCCATTTTCTGTTTCCAAATCATCCCACAGAGTCGAAATTTCTGCCCAACCCAATTATCCAATAATTCATCAACTTAGAGTCACTTTTCCTCTCTATTTACTGTGTAGTTTTCCAGCTTGTGGTCATTATAATGTAAGACTAAATGCCTTTAATTTAATTTGGCCCTCAGCTGGGGGAGGATGCTGTTTGCAGTGATGTAGATGCACACCAGCCATGACAGTTAATGTCAACAGTTGTCCCAGTCGAGGCTTATGGAGCTGTCAGAGAGGAGTGGCATTTATTAAAGAGTAAATAGAGTTAGTGCTGGATGGTCGGCATGTCAGAAAACCATCATCTGTGCTTTTAAGAGGATGCTGTGTTGTCTCCAGCAGCCACAGTGTTGTTTGTCCATTAGTTAACATGATGGGCTGCCTTTCTCACTTCCATTGATTCCTATTATAATTAACTCCACTTCTGCTTCAATGCCTCTGGGCCAAATGCTCTGTACAAGTAGATTTTGTTGAGTAATTAAAAAAGAGAAACTCAAAGGTGGCAACTTATCCGGGTTTATCACAGTAAACAGGTTTGGACCGCCTTCCAACAGAAGATGTGAGCTGTGGCGTCCACTCAAGGGCGCCCCCAAGGGGTGGCCATGGTCAGCCCTAGAAAATTGCTGGCCCACCCAAGAAAAGCCAGTGTTAACAAATCATATTAATGTTCAGTCAAAACATATATTGATACTGTTTATTCAAGACATAAATGTGAAACAAAATAAAATATTACAATTAATGCATGAATAAATAATCAGAATTTAAAAAGCACATGTTTCTGCTGCTCACCATTTTAAAAAAAGTTTTTATCTCCATAGTTTTTTAACACAGCTACAGGTGAATTAACCTAAACAATTTTTTAAATTACATTTGGGATAACATTTTAAATAACTGAAATGTATTTTTCTAAAATGTTTGTTTGCATTTGTGAAATTACCTACAGTTATTTTAAAATTAAAGGTGCAATGCAGCACATCACCACAGACTAAATTCAACCAAAGTTACCGCAAGAACCAATTTGGGGTGCCACCCCAAAAATTTCTTTGGCCCCATCTGGCCACCACTATCAAGATTTTCTGGAGGTGCCCCTGCATCCACTGGGAGGACCTGACGACCGTTAAAACCAACAACACAATCCTGGCAGAGATCTCTTTTGATGGAGTCTTACATTTTGGTTTCAATTCAGTTAGTTTATAAAGTTGGAGTTACATGCATCATCTGAGCTACTACGTGCAGCACCTAAAACACCTAAATGAGCTCTGGACTGCTATCACCAGAGACGGGGAATTGTAGCATCAACAAGCCATTTCCAAACCACGTTTCTCTTCCGCTCAGCAACTAAACCAGGTGATTTCAATCAGCACAGTGAATGAACCTGGTTCATTTGATGAGCTGAACAAAAACACGGTAAGGTGACTTGTTGATGCCACAACTCCCGTCTCAGGTTTTCACCCCAAAAATCCTTCTGAATATAACAGAGACAGCAACTCAGCATGTTGACCATGTTGTTTCCTGTTCGGATTAATCTCGTCATCACACACCTGCTGCGCCCGGCAAGCTCTGAGGATGGCTGCAGTGTTAGCTGGAACATTAGCAAAAACAAGGTGAAACACCTCTTCCTCTATTGGAAAAAAAAACACAGAATGAGCGTAGAAAAGATGTTTAGAGAAAAACTGCCCCACACTGCCCCCTGGTGGATGATCTACATGTGGTGCACGCCAGTTTTAGTTATTTATTGCAGTTGTTTTTTGATAGAATTACCAAGTACAACTAATTATGTTATACTATGGAACAAAAACAACCATTGGACCATGAGTTTGTTGGTCTCACCAAACCACTGCTCAACCCTGGGTCCTCCACTCATCACACACTCGCGTATTCAGCACCAGAACACCACTGGTGAGAGAGGTTCTCCGCTCAATAACACCAGAGAAGGAGAAACAGCCGGCTGCTACCACTTCAGCTTTAGGACAAACTACCAGAGTCCCAAAAAGAAAAACACAGTTTGACGTCACGGACAACAGAAGATGTTTGGAGCTAGAAACTGTGCCTGGTGTTTAGCCCCATCTCGTTTCCTCTGGCATCGCAGGCTTCCAGTTTGGTGGAAGTGGAACCAGTGAAGATACCCGAGAGGGGGTAAGTGTTCTGTGGCCATGTTTAAAACCTAGTTTGTTCTGCAGATTCATTATAACAGCTTTAATAATCAACTCTTCATCTCCTGCTACACATCAGAGTCCTAAAACATCTAACGTCTAATTTCTTTACCCGTCTGCTTTTGGACTTTAATCCCTCGTTGGAGAGGAAGTGAACTTCATCACATCTCCAATTCATAAATAACTTATTGAAACGAGGACGGGTAAACTGAAGAAAAACAAAGATTCAGTAAAATGAATCCTTTTGCTGATGTTCTACTGAGACAGTGTATTAGTGGTTTCTTACGGGAGAAGATTAAGCTTAAATTCAAGCCTTCAGGCAACTTAAAGGCTGCTCTGTCCCACAGTCTGCCACTTTATGAGACTATAATCAAACTCCTGCTTCATCATAGAGCCGCATGCTGCGGAGCCGGCAGTTTTCAAAAGCAAACCTACAAAATAAAAAAGATTTGAACCTTTAGGGAAGCTCTGATTTGAGTTAAAAGAATGGATGCAAGCTGGTTCAGCGTCTGCTTAAGTAACACCTACCTTTAGATCTGATTAGATTCTCATGCGGGCTCTCACCAGAAAGACAAAGTTTAAAAGCTGCTCTTCAACTTTGTTTTGTTCAATTCAAACAAAAAAAGTCTACTAAAAATGTTTATATTTGGTCTTTAAGGACCACTGTTTCTGTTTCGGGCTAAAAGTTGCATTTTCCAGTAAGTAAGTAAATAAATAAAGTGTCCGAAATGAGTTTTCTCTGCACGGTGTCTGAGCTCTTCCTTAGAGATAGGGTGAGAAGCTCGGTCATCCAGGAGGGGCTCGGAGTAGAACCGCTGCTCCTCCAAGTTGAGAGGAACCAGTTGAGGTGGCTCGGGCGTCTGGTGAGTTTTCCGGGCACCCCCAAATGGGAGGCATAGTCCCTCCAGCATGTCCTGGAAGGACTATGTCTCTCGGCTGGCCAGGGAACTTCTTTGGAGTCCCCGGAGAAGCTGACCCAAGAAGAGGGAAGTCTGGACCTCTTGGATTAGGCTGCTGCTCCCACAACCCGATCCTGCATAAGCGGACGAAGATGGATGGAACGATGGATAACTAGAATAATCCATGCTGACACTGACAGAAATACATCTAAATATCCATCTAAAGTAAAGAATTAACTAAAGATATGAGTTTCCTCCCCGCATCTTTCCTGCAGCCAGCAGATCCAAACGGTCATACATCTAAATAATGTCAGCACTGAGGCCAAGAAAAGGTCTGGATGAATGAATTAATGTAGAAAAAGTATTTTCAAGACTTGGGGATGCAATGGGATTGTGTGAAGAAGAGCCTCAAAAACTGACCCTCATGTATTTTAGATCAAGACGGAGACCCTCAGAAAGAGAAAGGAACACTTAGGGACATTTTTCACCATAAGTTTGGCTGAACTTCTCTTTGTCATTAAAAGTTTAAAGGAGAAAAGTGATCAATAGTAAGTAAAGCAGAATAAGTGAAATTATAGGCTGCTTTAATCCAAACAAATGGAAGCAGCAGCAGAACAATATTTCTTCTTTACATCTTTGTTCAGCAGCTCCACAACACGCTGATACAGTTTAGTGACCAATTCCAATTACCCTAAAGGAGCTAACTCACTTTTTCAGAGTAAATCTTCCTCATCAGCCATCCCGGTCCTATTTACACCCCCCAACGCCCACCCCACCCCCAAACAACCGCCTATAACTGATGACGGGACTATGAGTTAATGAGCAGGAAAGAAAATTGAGTTCGAGCGAAAGTCTGAAAGCTTTCAATTCAAAAATACTTTATTAATCCCAGAGGGAAATTAGAGTTTCAGTACACACAATTCTAAGATCAGACATACATACATAGACACATGACAAGCATTGGTGACTGTGATCATTCGCAACCTGAGTTGTGCTACCGTAATAGATCAAGAGGGCTTATACGAGGATAGAGTCAGGGGGAGGGGAAAAAAAGGC